AGAAGACCAACCTCAAAAGGCGTCGCATGGCTGATATTGAGCCTACTCCCATTGCTGAGTATGATGATGGCCCCCTAGTTGTGCCACATGGCTTTCGCTCTGTGGTTAGGGCCTTATATCACCTCGACCGTGCCAGCTCTCACTCTTCGACGATCTACGAGCTTCACTCACTGCCACTGCAGTTTGACTTGTCGGTGAGTCAAGTCCCAGCAGGAACACGCCACTAACGCTCAGCCATGGGACTGGAACGCTGCCAACAACAGTGCAATCCAATGTGATGTTCGGCTTAAGTGGCAAACTTTCGTGGGTCTCTTTCCGACAGACTTTCGTTCGCGTCGAGTCGTCGTATCCGTGGCATCTGGATCATTCGACTCGTTTTCAGATGGGTCACTGATCTTGTTTCGAGGAAACTTTCGGTGCAGCGGCAAGTGCAAGGCCCTCCCTCCCACCCATTCTGGGACTGGTGACACATTCGAAAGTTTCGACCAGTACCGCGGGGATGGCGAAGATGTTGAGATGTTGGAGTCCCCACGCAAAGCGGGGGGAGCTTCTTTGTGCAACGCGATTCTTACTGTAAGCACCACGCATACGGAATGGCTGACCCCAAGATTGAGATGACCCTGGATAACATTCGGCAAGGGGTTGTTCAGTGGTGGGAGCCTCTCAACCACCCGAAGCCCCGCCGCAATGTGGAGTTGTCGATGTCGCACTTCGTTCGAGCTGCACTGTTTCATGTTGCGTCGTCGTATCGAATGACTACGTCTTTTTTAGCCAAGTGTAGGTGGGCTACGTTGCCTAAGCTGATTTCGTCGCAGGGTTCGAACGTTCCATCTCTGAGGAGCCTTACTTCAAAGAGCTACAAACGATGGCCCCTCATCGCATGCCGGTAATGAAGCACTTTAAGTCAGTCTGGGCGGCGGCGACTAGTCGGAGTCGCCTAGCAAAGCTTCCACTTGTTGCACTGGATATTATCCACCAGCGTAATCCAAGTAGATTCATTCTGTGAGTTCCAGTGCAGTTACGAGTCTGCGAATGCACTTCGCCAGCCCTCCCCCATGGTTCAGCATCCTGACTCTAGCTTCACTGTCATCCCGGCCACCCCGAAGACCAAGTTTTACGCTGAAGCCGCCATGGTCTCCAATTTTAGCCTTGAGGCCGCCATCATGTTCGCGCCGTGCAACGGAATGTTTTTGGACTCATCGTTCAAGAACAAGGCCGGGGGGAAAACGCCTTTGACCATGCTGGTGACTGTCAACCAGCATAACCGAATGGTACCAAGTGAGTGGCTTTCGTTTATTCGCAATGGGACGATAGCTGATCAACGAGTGGCCACTATGGTCCACACGAATGCGATCCGTCCTGCGTTCGTCAACTTTCTGAAGGCATTCGCAAAGGCAGTGCAGCAACATGCCCGTCGGATCGTGGCTCGAGAAGTCAACCATGTCCTCGTGCTCGACGCTGTCGAACAGGAACAGTTCCTGATGCGGTGCGACGACATCGCCGAAGAAGGATGGGTCCCCGCCTTCGGCATGATTGACGCTCATGACGGTGAACGCAATGCCATTGAGGAGGTGTTTCCGGGTATGCCAATCCGCCTGTGCCAGTTCCACCTCATTGCCGCAGTCCGCAAGAGGTTCCGGCGCATCTTCGGAGCAGTAACACCTCAGAACCAGGGCTCTTTCTTGGCGCTTCAAGCATTTCGCACCTTGCAACGATGTCCCGTCGAACAAGAGTTCGACCGGTACTATGGTATCTTCAGGCGCACCATTCACGACATCGACGACGACCCTGAGACTTGGGACCAAGTCGATAGGTATCTGCAAGGGGAATGGTTGGCTCCTCGGTGGCGCTCATATTGCATGGACTACGGTCTGCCGCCGTGGGTCACACGGGATGGGCCGTGGTCGACGAACAACTTCGTGGAGTCTGCGTTCAACGTTTTCGATCGAATCTTCTTGGACTGTCGCGCGAACAAACGGTGAGTTAGTGAGATGGCACACGCTTATAACAGCGTTGATCGTTTGGTTGACATTCTAATCACGGAATACTTCCCTTGGTACGAAGCGAATCAGCATAAAGAACCACGCTTCGACCGGATCCACGCTGCGGCTGTCCGGAACGGCCTCCTGCTCTGGCAAACAGATAGCATTCGTGTGGTCGATATGTCTATCGCGCGAGACCAAGGAGATCCAGCCTATTCCCAGGATCACCCCATCTACGTCGTTCAGGCCCAAGCAAAGAAGCTCAAGCTTGGTTCAGGCACTGTGGGGGTGGCTGCTCGCACTCGGGGCCGTGAGATTTGCTCGTGCAACAAGTGGAAACAGACGGGCAAACGGTGCATGCACATGTTCGCCGTCTTCAAGTACCGCATCACGGGGCCCTGCAATGAGTACGAGACCAAGATCGAGGCGGCAATGGAGCGATTCCACTTCCCAAAGGCGGATCTTTCCCCCGAACCTTTGCGGGATTTCGATCGGCCATATTCCAGTGACGGGGAGGCCAGCCCGGACGACGACCCCCTAGAACAACAGTGGGGGAAGTACGTTCATCACCCTAAACGACTGTTCGATTTTGACTTCGATGGTTCCCCAGTGACTTCGTTCCCTGTCAAAGAGAGCCGGCCTTCGCCTAGGAAAGGCGATCTGGTAACCCCCAAACCTGAACGCAGCGAGTCTCGAATGGACGTGGACGAGCCCGATTCACCCGCCGAAACACCGACCATGTCCCTCGAACCTCCCCAGCTGTCCGATGAGCACATTCTTGCGCTCGAAGAGGAAGAGAGGACACAGACGGAGCGCTACGGGCACATTCGCCGAAACAAGAGTGACATGGGGGAGCCTTTCGGAGTGTCTTCGGGACGACCCCTCAACCGTCATCCGAACCAACCATGGCGGACTGGGGATCCCACTCGAAAGCACAGTAAGCGTTATGACAAGCGACTGCCACGGCAGATGCCTTTCATCCCCTTTGCCGGCGCAACCAACCCACACGGACTGTCCTGCTATGCCGACACCATGCACATTATGCTGTACATGATTCCTCGTGTGCGGACTCGAATCTTGGCAATGACCGAGTCTGAGTTGAACCAGCCTTACCTTTTCGAACTTCATAATATGTTCAAGGGCTGGGACGCGGTCGAGCATTACAACCAGCCTGAGCTTCTGGACATCATGTCTAATACTATTTGTGTATACCCTGGTATGTGCATTCCAGTGGCGGCACTGACACGCTAGGTGGTCCCCTGGTTGACGACCCTGGGATTCAGCAGGACGCCTCCGAAGTTTTCCTCCGCGTAGTCACATACCTCACGCGTTCTCTGACTGGAATCGATCTGTGCGAATACCTGCAGGTTACTGCTAAGTCCACTCGAACGTGTCCTAACTGCCAATCGTGCGACGGAAGTGACCAGGTCGGATCGGTGTCGATTGGGCTGGTCCTCAGGGCCCCACCAGCAAACACGAAGTCTGCCTCGAGTCAGGATGGGCGGCTGAGTTTACTCGACCTTTTCGGCCTTCAAGACTCAATTATGGGTGACAGCGGAGCCCTTGTCTGTGGACGATGCAACTTCAGCGGACCGGGGTTCGTCATGAAAGACGAGATCATATCACTCCCAACGGACTACCTCGTCATCCATTTATCAAGGGGTTACGATTATCCTGCCACTTTCGACATTCCATCAGTGTTTACCGAACCGACAACCCAACGTTCGTTTGGAGTGGTTGCTATCGTTATGAGGGAGCACGTTACCGTCTCTCAGGGACATTTCGCCATTCTGGTCTGCGATAAGAAAAGCCAGAGCTGGTGGAAGATCAACGGTACTGTCGTCGTTCAGACCTTCGGTCCCAACGCGTCATTCGGACTCAATTGCTACCCAGTGTTCCTTCTTTGCGAGGCCCGCCTCCCGGTACCAACTGTTCCCGATCGCACATCTGTCGGCAGGAGGCCACCCGCGAAACGTCAACGCCAGGATGTCACGAGCTCCAAGGACACGGTGCTCTTCCCCACCCAATATGCCCAACCAACAATGGAATCGTTGTTGAAGTTGTTGATTCTGGGGAATAACAGGAAGGCTCCTCGATTGATCGACGCAACCCTCCGATTCAAGAACCTGCAAAGTCTAACTGGGCTGTACAAGCAGGTTGTGAGCCTCGGACAGCGGGGGCTTCCTCACAGTTACCTTGACGATTGGCGCAAGTATGCGATTACAGACGACTGGTACTCCAATATCTTCATCAATCACGTACTGCGGAACCTGGAGGCTTGCACGAAGTTCACGAACGGACGACCTCAAGGAAACCCCGAAGTCGAAATCGTCTACCAGGCATCGGGACTGCCTAATGGATGGTTCGTGGATAAGTCGCTCATGCCGTTCCATTCTGGTCCTTGGAAAAGTCTACCGTGTTCCTTTCTGGATACCGCAGGAGAATGGACCAAGAAGTGGTACGTGCTGCCTTTCCAACCTTTGGTCGGCCTACACTTTTGCACCGTCGCACTGCATGGTCCAGAACGGCTGCTTTATGTCCTGGATAGACTGCCGGGCCTGTCCTCTAATCTGAGCAAACCGACCCCCATGCATGTGAGCATTCGCGTCCTCGTCATGCCGTGCTGACAACAATAGACT